ATTTTTCACTATAGCACTTCCTAATTTTTATAATGTTAAAACTAAGGTCTGCCACCAAGAGCATATTTTCTGCGAAGGGAACCATTGTGCAAACGCTTTAATTAGCCAGTATTGGCGGTGGCGTGAGACCAAGTCTCCTAGATTCTCCTCTGGATGAGCTTGGTGTTTCGCTTGATAAAGATTGTAGGTCTCTGTTACCCCACATTTGTGTCGTGTTAAGTATGTTTTCTGGGCTTCTGGCCCTTGTTTTGCCAAAAATAACGAAGAAGAAATAGAGAGGGAGGGAGGGATAAAGAAAGCCAATGTCTATGCTTCGGCTCTTTTCTACTCCCTTGAAGCAATTGTCACAGCAGACAATTTATTAGTACCTTTTCATTTATATTTAAAAGCTATTCTAATATATCCTTGCTCTATACATGCAGGCTACAACTGTAGAGTACAAAGCGTATCAAGAGCAAGTTCTAAGTAATTGTGCAAAATTTGCCCAGGTATCAGATTATGAGACATGGCAAAAAGACAGCATATAACAACTTTCTCTCACTCAAACAAATGGAAATTTTGAATTATTTAGCCTTTTTCTCATCAGACTGTAGGTCTAACAGGTTAACTTCAGAATTTTAATTGCTTGGGACGTTACTGATTTTGCAGAGTTTAGTTGAGAAAGGCTACGAACTTGTTTCTGGAGGAACTGAGAACCATTTAGTTTTGGTGAATTTGAAGAACAAGGTATGATGATGTTTAATCTATCTTGTTTGACCACTTGAAAGAAGTTCCTGGTGAATTAGCCCAAGCGGTAAAAAGTGTATTAAGACGAAACTACCTGCACCAACAGGCCATTAGTCGTGGATTTATTTGAGTTCTAAACATGAGAAATGGTGCTTCCTTTTCTTTTCATCTCTTTTTTTCCGTAAATTTGTTTTGTGCAGGGTATAGATGGCTCCAGAGTTGAGAAGGTGCTTGAATCTGTTCACATTGCTGCAAACAAAAACACTGTTCCTGGAGATGTGTCTGCCATGGTTCCCGGTGGCATCAGGATGGGTAAGGGCCTTTACTTGACATGACAATGTGCTTTGATTTTATTTAGAGCGACTTTTCTTGATAAACACAACTGCACTTCAGGAACGCCGGCTCTTACTTCTAGGGGATTCGTTGAAGAGGATTTCGCTAAGGTGGCAGATTTCTTTGATGCCGCTGTGAAGTTGGCAGTGAAGATCAAGGCTGAAACCAAAGGTTTGTACCTCTCCAACATCTTTGTTGCATTCTCCCAAAGCTTCTTTAAATCTCGTTACTGCTCATGGTAATTCTTGGCCACTAATTGATCGGTTCAGAATATCATTCACAGTAAGAAACAATAAAATAAAATTATTATTGGGTTTTGAATAAAGTTAGCCTTTTATTTTATAACTTACATATTTTTTTTAACAATAATCCCATAGAAATTAGTTTATTATTTATAAAAAAAATTAAAAAAAACCTTATAAACTAAAAAAAATATCAATTTTTTATCTGAATAATGTCTATATATTAATTCAGAGCAATTTTAGAAATTAACCCCGCCAAGTTCTTATTTTATTTTTCTAGATCTAAAATATAATCTTTGTATTAATTATATTCTAGTCCTTAATTTCTAAAACATATTTTAATTAAATCATCATAGTTTAATTTCTGACTAATGATTCTTAATGTATGTGACTCATTAGGTTTCTAATATATTGATACAACTATAAATTATAATTATAATTAAATTAAATTAAATAATTTAATTTATTATCAATTTAACAATTGATTAATTTTTATTTGAAGATTAGATGTATCGTCTAACAATTATTATGATTCCCTAAATATTAAAAAAATCATTAATGATATAACTTAACCTTTTAGTGGTCGGTTTTTCAATATAATTAATATCTTTTCATCAATAATATTCTTATTTAACCTTAAAGTATGAAATATATATGTCATGTTAAATCATGTATGTTCTCTACATAATATTCATTAATCGTTTGAATAAGATTTGAATTTTTTTTTAAATCCCATTTTATTTTAATGAAGGATTTCTTAATCAATATTATTTGAGAATAAATATAATATTTTTTTAATTCACCTAAGGTCATAAATCTTTTCTCACTTAAGTACCTTTATATAGTTCATGTTATACGTATTATCTATCTCTTTATTACCTCAATTGAGATAATATATAATAAGGTCAAGAAATAATATTCTCTAATATAAGATAACTTAGTGATTTCAAGTCTAAAGATTACTTATACAATCGTCACATGAGCCTTTTCATAGATATATATAATATTTTCATATGAAATTCTCATGCGGGTTAATTTAATGTATATATTTTATGATAAGCACCTACATATTAGTTTCAAGTATTTTTTATACAACAACTTATGAGAAACGATTCTAATAATTTTTTAGAATTTAAGAGAACATCGACTAGAAATATTTTAGGAACAATATTTTGATATTATAGAAATCTTATAATTGTAGCAGTTTTATAATTCTTGTTGCAAAGTATTTATGTCACATAGACTTTATTATTACTTTATATTAATATTTTTAAACCCAGTTTCGTTATTGACCTGATCCAAGATTCAGGTAACGAGTTTTGACCAGGTCATCAAGTTTTGACTAAGTCACCCGGGTCAACCATAATTTTTTTATAAATTAAAACAACATCGTTTTGGTAAAAAATAAAAATAGTCAACATGTTACAATCGAGTCTTGCCAGGTCAATCAGGTCATAGAATCAACCCATTAGGTTCGTCGGGTTTTTAACTATTTTTATTTTTTTATAAACTCAACCTAGTTTCAACCTAGGATTCCAAGTCTACCCGGTTGGATGGGCCTAGTTGTAAAAGTATGTTTTAGATTTATAAATCTAATATTATTATATATATATTAAAAATAAATTAAATTTTTATTAATAATAAATATATATCTATATAAATATAATAATATAATATCACTTATAACCGACCCAATTATCTAAATGTTATATTAACTAACAGACGCTGGCATCACTTGCCACTAATTTTTGTGAACCAGGGACGAAATTGAAGGATTTCTTGGCTACGCAGTCTGCTCCTCACTTTCAATCTGAGATTTCAAAACTCCGTCGTGACGTGGAAGAGTACGCTAAGCAATTCCCAACAATTGGATTTGAAAAGGAAACCATGAAGTACAAGAATTGAGCAAGAAATTATCACTACATAAGGTATATTATAACTTCAGTACAACTGGAGACAGGCTGAACTCTGGAGGGTCAAAAGCTGCTTTAATTTCTGTCTGTTTGGCTAGACAGTGCTCAAAGATTAAGTTTTAACCTCGAAATAAATTGAGTCGCCTGGACGAAAATTTAACATTCAGTGTTCTTTTTTACTATCTTTACTTGTGTGCTTCTTCTTCAATTTTGTGGAGTAGGTAAGCAGATTTCAGAAGAGTTTTTCTACTCAATGAAGTTGGATGGAGATGGCATAACTTGTGGATCATGTATCAAGGATGCAGATGCGAATTTTAGTGCTTTTGTTACCTGTTAATCCAGCAAACCTTGATCTGTATCTTCATTAGATGTATATATGCACACACAGCTACCAGTGCTGAGGAAGCAATAAAGATATTTCGTCTTCGTATATTCAAACGACTTTATTGCCAATCCAGGGCACTTCTGGCAGTGCAAAAGGGTGGAGAACAGAAAGCCTAGGATATGGAACCGATGCCACGGGCTTTCGAGTTTCTACTGCCTGGTCCTTTTTTGTTCCCTTAGTTCAACTGTTCTAGAAAAACTTGGACTGAGCTCTAAATTTGGGAATATACAAGTTGCTAATCCAGCTCGACAACCAACGAACCCGGGCAATTGCACCCTCGCACAGGTTCCTCGAACTGTGAAGTGCGTTTTGCTGACGGGGAAGAAATGGTTGCTTATCTTTTTACTGATTCTGATGATAGCAGCTTCCACTTTTGACAAAGAAATATGACAAGGCACAATCTCTCGTTTCCCAAACAGAATTATCATTTACAGAAGAAGAATACAAAACACCTCATGAAAGAATGAATGATTACTTGACGATGGAATTGAACTCAAAAGATGGGATGCTGGGTTGCCAGAAATAAAGCTAAACAAGTATATTGCTAGAGGGGTGAAAGATCTAGGACCCCGAAGCATCACCCTAATGACAACGGTAACACCTCCAACCTCGCCGGAATGCAATTGTTATCTTGGGAGCCGGCAGATGTTGAGACATTGAACTTTCCTTAAAGGAGAGCTTCCGACCAGAGATATCGTTGGATTTGGATCTTTTCATGTTCTTTTAGGAACATGATTCAAATCTAACCATTGATTTTGAGTTTAATAATCTGAATTATATGGGAAAAAATAAAACAATAATGAGAAAATATTATTATTTTTATCGTATAGTTATTCATCTTCTTCCAATTTAAATGTGATGATTTAGATTTAATGAACATGACAATCATATATATATATATATATATAAAATGAAAAAATCTTTATCTGGATAGCGTTTGTTGTTTTTGTATATTTCCACGTAAAGTTCATATAGTTTATTTTGCACCAAGCTGCTCATACTAAGATATAATTTAGATAACGAATATTAATTTGATGAATAAGTTCATGTCCAATCTTCAGTCTTCAATATTAATTAATTATGCAAATACCATAAATGTGCAAACAGGTAACTTAACATGGGGGATTTGATGGTTTTGAAAGGCCACCCCCAATACCAAGGACTGACATTACAGATTTATGGGCTTCGCTCTCTCTTTCCATTTACCTTATAATTGGCTAACATGATATACGAGTAAGAAATGGAAAGTAATTTTCTCTCGATCCTAAATACAGGATGAAGGTTCATGTGTAATGTATATTGATGAAGAGTGTGTGTGTGTGTTAATTTGCACAACAAATTAAAGTGATATTTCAGCAAAAGCCATTTTCTAAACCATATAGAAAAGAGGTTAACGAAATTACATGACAATTAAGGCATTCATTCAAGGAACAGTAAGATCAGCTTGCTCGTGTCGTGTGAGGTTGAGCATCGATGGATTTCATGATGAGCAGCCAACAATGTATGGTTCCATAAGTACATTCATAGTCATCAAAAATGGAATTTCAGTGATCGATTTTTTTAAAAGATAAAATAGTAACTCCTGCGAGTAAGAACTCGGGACTCGGAAAAAGTGAATTTTCAGTCTCCTAAAGCTTGGACTTGGGACTCTGAGATTCTCTAGACCATATGGGAGGAATAATTTTGTATTCCTGTGCTGGCTCCTCCTCTTTCTTCTCTTCAGCTTCTTCTAAAATGTCCTTAGAAAAAGCGTTGGGCTTTGCTTTGATGCAATTCTGCAAAGCCACAAATGGATGCACACAATCCGAGCCCTGTGCAGAAGGAAAAAAAAAAACTTCCTCAAAAGTTTCTGACACTTTATGGAACGTCAACAAATTCATTTCCATGTCACTGGCAATGTACCAGCGATAGAATATTAACATGCACTTACTAGTAATGGCATATGAAATTGAATACGATGAACAAAAAGGAAAAGGAAAGAAAGTGGAAACAAATAAAATCCCATACCTGAATAGATAAAAAAAAGTACACCTACAATAGATATACCTTGCTTAAAAAGGTTGCAATCAGTGGCAGTTCATTACAATTACCTTTTCCTCTGAAGTACTTTTGAGAAAACACAAGAATGATTCTGAAAACTGAACTCCACACGGGCCGTTGCGTAGATCAGCTATACATGGGCATTCTAATGCTTTCTGAGCCTTAGCTTCAAGAGACTGAAAAATCAAAGTTGAACTCGATTAGCTAGAATTAAATGACGAACCGAATTTCATGTATATCTGGAGCGGACTAACCTCATTCTCATCATTTCCATATGCTACAGCTTCTGTAAAAGCAAGAACCAGCAAATTGTGTTGTATCAATTTCTAATATTTATTTTCTCGTATGAAAGAAGAAACTTTATTAAGAAGAAGAAGAAGAACGAACACAAAAATGGGTTCAATGTTCTAATATAACTAATAGGGATCTCTCACATCTTAACCTTTAAATTTTATTCCAACGCATAGATAAAATGAAATTGGAGCCGAATATCACTTTATGTTTATATGGGAACTAGACACAGACATGGTCTCAACTTAACTTGGGAAATTAAGGGCAGATAAGCGGTGTAAAAGGGTGGTACAAAATCATAGAAGAGGAACCCCAATATGGCAGGCTTTCTACTGATCACTTCTTTTTTGGCTTAATTGGTCCAATGCTCCTGCTTAGATCCAAAGAAATCAGGGGCAATCAAAATAGCTGACAGACACCTACATGATGACTGATGAATGCGGTAGCTGTTGTATATAAAATAGGCAGCACCCTCCTTCGATAGTTTATATTAGAAGAGAATAAAAGATTCTGATAATAGATTTGGGATTCAGGAGCAGGGCACTAGCGAACTTGAAGATTTTCTACACTGCTAGATATCTAATTCAACATCAAACTAGTATTCAATCACTAACCATTATTATAATAATAATCCATGGTCAGAAATCAGTTTACTACAATGGAAGAGGGGAATAGTATAACAAAGATTCCAGTTGCAAGCAAGGTTGAATTCGATCAAATAATACGTAGTGAGCATTTCCACGAACACCGTATGGGTAAAGACCAATTTCACTTGATAAAACAAATATACATGGCGTAAGGCTTAGAGAAAGAGAGAAAAGGGAATAGGCAGGTAGGCAGGTAGCATACCAGCAAGAAGAGATTCCATCGAAGGAGATGAAGAAAAATGGGGTTCCATTTGATCTGCTGTATCGCTTGGTGCCACCTCGCTTTGAGCTTGACCCATCTTTGATTTTCCTTTTCACTTTTCTTTTATTTTCTTGCTATAAATTATAAATGAATAACCGGTATTATTATAATTATAACGATGAAGAAGACGCCAGCAGCAGCAGCAGCAGCAGCTTCATGGAAAATTGGAGACGAGGAAAAGAAAGGGAAGAGCCGCCATATGGACAGACATGTTAATATTAATTGGGCCCTTCGAATTCGTTTTAGATTGGGCCTAGCTGTTAGTCGAATTTTATTTTATTTTATGTCCCAGCTCATTTTCTTCGTGCCTGTTCCAACCGGCCTGATTTATTTATTTTAAAGGAGTGATTTGATATTTAATTAATGCACACTTTTGTTTTGTTGTGCTAAAAAAAATGGTTGGGATTGTCCTAAGCTACCACACGTATATACTTGGCTGAAAAAAAAACAAAAACGTGAAAAAAAATATAACGATGATGTTGTTATTAGATTTTATCCATTAAGTTGATTTTAAAATCTTTTTATTTAGATTTTTATTTAATTCAAATTTAAAATTAATTTATGTGGAAATTTTCATAATATAAGCCGTACATGAACTAGATAAGCAGGTAAGCTCTAAAAAAATTTAGATAATTAATAAAAAAATATTGTTTGATTTAAAAAAATAAGTTAATGTTTTTTTTAATTTTAATATTAAAACAATGACATATTAAATACAATCAAGTTTTGCAACATGACATACTATGCTTACAGATTAAGTCATTTAATCAACTCAGAGTTTTAAAGTTTAACCCATTAAACTTACAATTAAGATTACAAACTTTATTAGATTTAATAATTTTTTACTTTGTAATCTAATAACAAAATTAGACACTTTTAAAATGAACACTAATCAAATATTTAGATATTTATTTGAGATTATGATAACTTTATAAAAAATAAACTAAAATAACTACAAAAATATATTCAAAATATAAAAAATAAAAAATTATAAAATTAAATAAATAAAAAAGCTAAAAAGAATTCAATTGAATTAGGTATTTTTGGAATTTAATATCAATAAAATACTGCGACATTTATTTAAAATGACAATAATCTCGTATAAAGTTAAAAAAATAAAATCAATTAAAAATAAAAATTATTAAAAAGTAAATTAATAAAAAGATAAAAATATTATAGAATATAATTTTTCTTGAAAAAATTAATAATTTTTTTTGAAAAAATTAATAATTTTTTTTTAAAGAGTTGAGGTTTCATAGTTGTTTAATTGCTTGTTTAAAATTGTAGAAATGATTACAGTTTAAAATATTTTTTACTAAAAAATATATCAAATTTTTTTTAAAGTTATTTTAGAGATCAACACATCAAAACAATCTAAAAATATAAAAAAATTATTTTTTAATAAAACATAAAATCTTAAAAAATGTTTTTTTTTTAATAACCTATATATATATATATATAAATTTTTAATTGATCAATCTTAAAATATAAAATTAGTTTTGTTGTGTGCAGGTTGAGAGAAAGCACAAAGACTCTCAGCAAGTAAAAATATTTTTATAGCTTTGAAAATATTTTCATATTAAATTTATTTTAATTTTTTCAATCAAATATAGTTATATTCTTATTATATTTTATCTCTTATGTCTTAAATAATAATCATACAGTGCTTTAGGTCTAGAGAAAAATCAACTTATTTGCAAGTTCATGGTGAGATTTTTGCTGGTAGAAAGAGTTGCATTCATTTTTTTTTTAAAGGAAAAAAAAGAATTATTTCCGGCAATGAAAAGAAATTGAATTAATTAAGAAAAAGCGTCTGCCATGTACTTTTACGGAATACGTATATTATACCGTACCACTATTACCTGTATTTTATAAAAAAAAAAAGGAATATAAAAAATATCGCGCAAATCAAATCAAAACTGTATTTGGAGCAGCCGAAGCAGATCTCTATGCTATTTGTATTCAATGACCAACCCCTTTTAAGATAGGTCTTTTTTTTCTTTTTCGCTTTTGCTGTGCTGGGCTCGCTCTCCTCTTCTTCTGGTTTAGGGTTTATTATTGGTGGATTGATTGAATTATTAGAAGGGGAGAGAGAGAAGGGTAAAATCAGCATCATCTTGATCACCAGGAGAGATGGATTTGGATAAATGGATAGCGAAGGTGAAAGAAGGACAGCATCTGTTGGAAGACGATCTTCAGCTTCTCTGCGAATACGTAATTTCTCCATACTCCTCCGCCTATTACTCTCTATAATAATTTTTCTTGCCCTAGTTCTTTCTTTCTTTCTTTCTAATAAGCCTATACATCGATGCTTTTAGTATCTAATGGAATTGAATTAGGGTCTACACCCTTCTTGATTGATTCGGTTTGTTCCAACCCAACTACTTCTAATGCTGTCAGCACCTCCATTTCCTATTTCATTCTTTTCAATGCCAACCCCTTCCTGCTATTGATACTACTCGTTGTTTTTTTATGGTTATTTAAGTTTACTTTTACTGGATATAACAATAGCTGGAAATTTAATACTACTATTTCCTTTTTTCATACTCAGGTAAAAGAGATCCTCGTCGAGGAGTCCAATGTACAGCCTGTTAACAGCCCTGTCACTGTCTGCGGTGATATCCATGGCCAGTTTCACGATCTTATGAAACTTTTTCAGACCGGGGGTCATGTACCTGAGACTAATTACATTTTTATGGTAATCATCTTGTATACTCACTACACGATAAATCTTGCCCTTTTTCCTTTTTTCCAAAGCTCTTGCCCCATATCATTGCTTCTTTTAACTGTTTTTTTGTTATGTTTTATCTGAGTCCACTTCAATAATCTTGATGCTTTTGTAGGGAGATTTTGTTGATCGAGGTTATAATAGTCTTGAAGTGTTCACTATTCTTTTGCTTCTCAAAGCAAGGTACAGTTCTTTTCATGCCCTCATTCAGTGTTCTTGCTATGTTTTTATACCATTATGTGATTCTACCTGTATCTTCCCTCCCGCCAAAACAACTACTTTACCTAGCTTTGCAAGAAAAAGAATTGCTTCCATTAGATTAGACCAAATTCTCACAATGCTTCCAGAGGCCACATGGGAATTTGTCGTCTTGGTTTTTGTTAACCTGGCAACTTGAAATCCTGTATAAGTTGTTACCTGGTCACTTCAGCAGCTCAAATTCTGAAGATCAGAAGCTGGTCAGGCTATGTCCAGCTGGTATAACATTCACATACAAAGTTTTATAATGCATGCATCTTAGATTTCTTGCTTATGTTTTTTACTAGTTAATTTTGCTGTTTTCTATATCTTTTGGTTGTGTTTGTAGATACCCAGCTAATATTACACTTTTGCGTGGAAATCATGAAAGCAGGCAACTAACTCAGGTATGGTTTAAGCTGGACCATAATCATTATTTATTGCGTAGCTTGACACAATCACCATGACAGTTTATGACATGTGCAAGAGTGATATGTTCTCTCCACTATTCTTTGTCAAAGCTGCTGGTTTCCCCTAGGAGAGTTAAGTTATGAATGGCTGTGCTCTTTTGGCTTGATGGATGCTTAATGGCTAAGAAGTGTCCCTATAAGTGTAATCTAATAATGGAATAACCAAATGTTATTGGGGGAGAAGGAAAATACATTCTTCCAGAACTACAAGAGCTAATCTGGAAATTGTTAGTTAAAGATGAGTCTAGATTTTTCCTATATTAAGTGATGGTGATAAAAATTGTGTTAAATAATGTGCTTGGGCTGGTGATATATTGAAGCAATTAGATATACTTTTCTCAAGCAAGAGCTAATCTGGAAATTTAGGATGTTGCTCAGGTTCCAAATATGTTTGTTAGGCTGCTAAGATGACTTTAGTTTCAAGGCAATCCACTTAGGTTGGTTTATTTTGGTTAAATTATGAGGAAAACTGTAATTCATGCATATTTTGGTTGCTCACATTTTGCTCGTAGATGCTAATTTTTTGGTAACTAATTCATCCAAACTTAAATTCAAGGTTCTCATGTATATATTCATTCTTATGTGCTGGTCTAATAGCTGGATCATTTCCTAGTGAGGTTTTTAATACATAACAGATACAGGAACTGTGAGACAATGAGTCTGAAATGTTGTAGGTTATTTCCCCAGTCATGGTTTCAAGTTTGCTTGGTTCTTAAGCCATGTCCTCAAGTATGGTCAAATCTGATAACAAGTTTGGGAAAACTCCAGTTCAGCTAGTTCCGGATGACATCATTAAAATCATTTTACAGTTGTGTGTGTGTGTGTCAGATCTCCCCTGATCCAGCCCCGATCTTAAGTTTTAGAACTGCTACAATGAAAATAAATGCGTAAATTCTAGGGTTTCAATCCAAATGATCTCATTTTTTCAAGATGGATATCCTGCTTTCTTGAAAATTTCCCTTTGGATTATAAATCTATGTTGTAAGGTATGACTTTCTTTTTCTGCCAGGTATACGGTTTCTATGATGAGTGCCAGAGGAAGTATGGAAACGCCAACGCCTGGCGGTATTGTACCGATGTTTTTGATTATCTGACACTCTCAGCAATTATAGATGGCACTGTAAGTGCAACCCCCCTACTGCAGCCCATTTCTTGCTCTTTGAATACTGCAGCCTTTTCCTCTAAATCTCTGTTCATTTATGTAGATGGCTCTGTATTTGCATCTGCTTCAATACCTGTTACACTTGATGTTGTTTTTTTATCCTCTAGGTGCTTTGTGTCCATGGTGGTCTTTCTCCTGACATCCGAACTATCGATCAGGTGTTTTTCTTTTCCCTGAATTTGTATAGCTGAAGAATTGTGCATTTCAGCAATACACCATATGGAGAGAGAGAGTCTCCATTGGTCGCACAGCATGTTGGTCTATAAAGGTTTCTGCTGCTTTGTTCTCATGGGTGGTACTGATACAAAATCTTGCATTTTCCCTTTTATATGGCAGATAAGAGTAATTGAACGGAATTGTGAAATTCCACATGAAGGACCATTCTGTGATCTCATGTGGAGTGATCCTGAAGATATTGAGACATGGGCAGTTAGTCCCCGAGGAGCAGGTTGGCTTTTTGGGTCTAGGGTCACTTCTGAGGTAATGAACCTGGCCTCTAATAGGAACATGTCCCATTCACTGGAAACAAATGTCATATTGATCTGACAGTTAGTTTTCTTTTTTTTCATAGTTCAATTACATTAACAATCTTGATCTGGTTTGTCGAGCACACCAACTTGTACAAGAAGGTCTCAAGTACATGTTTCAAGATAAAGGCTTAGTCACTGTAAAGACCCTGAACCTCTTGAATTGATGATGTCAGACATATCCAAGCAGTTTGGTAATTTTCCTGTTCTGTAAAATTTGCAGGTCTGGTCTGCACCAAATTACTGTTACCGCTGTGGAAATGTAGCTTCTATATTGAGCTTCAATGAGAATATGGTGAGTATCGGAGACTTGTATACTGCCTATGTTCTTATGTGGGATCAAGGGACGCATGCTAATAATAAATGCTGTTGTAATTTAGTCATATTGTTTGTCCTTGTTTATTGTTGATAATTTGATTATATACTAAAAACACCACAATTTTGTTGCAGAGTTTATAGAATTGTGCCTATCCTGATTATTATGGCGTATTAGTTAGTGCCCTTGAAAATAATAGTATCTTTATGGACAGATTGATTGCATGGGAAACACTTTGATTGTATAGACAAGTGAGAATAAAAGAGCTTAAGTGCTTTTACTTCCTTTCTATTCAATGATAAATGATATTTAATTGTGTTCTTTTGTTACCTTTTTAATTAAATGCGGTGATTTATGCACATGCTTAGAAAGGTCATTGCTTAATTATGAATTTGCTGCTCTGCACTGCTGCAACTTCATGTTTTCAAACCCAATACCTTTTCAGAACCCTTGTTTTTCAGCTTACATTATTATGAATCTGAAACTACTGGATATGTCCTTGTACATTTTTCAATGGGAAAATTCCTTAATCATCCCCATCTGTACCCATAGTTTTCTGTTTGTGAAATTCATATTGTTCATCCATGTTCATTTTTTGTGTCATTTCATAGGAGAGGGAAGTGAAGTTTTTTACAGAAACGGAGGAGAACAACCATATGAGAGGGCCCAGGACAGGCGTTCCATATTTCTTGTAAAATTGTTGTTGGGGGGGGGGGGAATACAAGTAAAGTTGCCGAAGCACTGTTGGTGCTTATTGCCAAAGACATTTAACGTGGAGGAGTGGAGAACACGTCATTGCGTGAATGCTTGCAGATGGACCATTCATTGTGCTTGGGGTTGAGCTCTTCCATCCCATCCACTCAAGGCTTCATTTGGGATCTGTTGCCTGTGTATTAGAGTTTTCTAATTTATACTTGGGTTATTTGTTAGATAGCGTGTCCTTATTCCAAGATGTTCATTGTTGATGCCCGTTGAATCCCATTGTGCATCATTCTACCGTTTTACGACATCAATTTTTAGTAACCTTTTATTTTAATCCCCAAAGCTTCTTTCAACTATTTTGGGTCTTTCTGGATTGGAAATGAAGAGGCAATTTTTTTCATGGAAATTTATGGCTAGTGAAGGGGGGAAAAGGCGATTATGATGTGCAGGTGATTAACCTTTGTTATTGTATCATCAAGCTTGGTCATATGAGCTCGGCCGGGAGCAACCATTGCAGCTCCTGTGAGCATGGGAAATGGAAAATTGCGACCAAGCTGCAGGAACCGTTCTAGGAAACGCTGAGAGAGTTCATTTTCAATTTCATGCTTAGAAGACTAGAAAACCAGAAGCTGCATGCTCTTGAGCGATCGTTTTTACTTGTGATCTCCACATAAACTACTTCCTGCATGCTGAGTTCTTCTATTTGCCAGGTTAATTCCGTAGGCAAGCTGTTGTTCAGCGCTTTCCATAAACGATGCTCGATCATGGGATGCAGATCAAGTTTCTACATTCCCATGCAGTTCAGGTTGAAGACAGTATCATTCCTGAGCTAGCTCCTTAACCCTGATTTGGACCTTGAGGAAATTTAAATGGGAATATTGCAAAACTCCAACATGGATGAGTTTGAACGTCTTGCGAGCTGGATTAGATGTATAAAATATGCTGTGAAGTGAGGAACTTATCAGCAAAACATGTCCATAGAAATGTGTACTGCGTATCTCAATATCCAGTGGTAAAGAGTCAAGAAAGTATGTCACTAGCAAGTTTTCATCACAAAAGAAGAGCCAACAAGCTTCAAATTAAACCCTAAACTGCAAACTGGAATCATTTCAAGTTTTTATCGATCACCATAAAGGAGAGATTTAAAGGAAAGATGCGAGAGTGAAGCAATAAAGAATACAGGAACAACCAGAGAGAAATAATGGTTCAAAGAAAATTGAAATCAAAATACCAGTTCAGCTCATCATTCCCCTATGCAAAACATCATGCACGGGCAGCACTGACCAATGAAAGCTTATTGTAATGGCGTGTAAATAAAAAGCAGACACTGATGAGAAAATCGCTAAAACAAACAAGCAAAACGCTAAAACCAATTTAGTCATTCGCATTCCAAAAAATGTAGGTGGGGATAGCACTTTTATTCCCTACATCTCTGCCACACAAGCAATCACACTAAATGATGAATAAGTATTGTAACTGCAACCTTAATCATCAACCTCAGCCTTAATTAAAGATGCATTTATAATACTAGCCAATACAAATGCAGCAACTGCCAGCAAAATCTCATTAACTTACCGATGCAAAGAATAAGTATTGTAACTGCAACCTTAATCATCAACCTCAGCCTTAATTTCTCTTTGTAGCTCCTCTTTGTACTCTTCAAATGTCCCCGGAAAAGCAGTCACTGTTCCATCTTCCACCACCCAAATTTCACTCTTCTCTTCATCATCACAGACACGTGATATCAATCTAGAATCGTGACTGACCAGGACCACCCCACCAGTGAATTCATCAAGCGCATCAGCCAAGGCATCGATACTTTGCATATCCAAGTGGTTTGTGGGTTCGTCCAAAAGTAGAATATGGGGCTTTGACATTGATATTGATGTGAAGACAACTCGGGCTTTTTGCCCACCTGATAATTTTGCAATAGGGGTAAGATGATTATGACTGGGAAGTCCAAATTTGCCAAGCTTCCCTCGAACAGCCTCCTGTTTGCTAAGCCCCTCTTGGTCTGGATGGAGACGAAGAAGGTATTGTACAGGTGTTTCATCCATTGTAAGAAGATCCACAAAGTGCTGCGAGTACCTTCCAATCCTCAACTTCTGACTCCGCCTCACTTCACCTTCGGTTGGTACCAAATCACCTGCAAGAAGATTTAGGAGAGTGGATTTGCCAGCTCCATTGGGTCCAACAATAGCAACACGGGTCCCCATGTCAATGCCCACATCAACATTTGACAACTTGAAATCCTCCCGATTTGGATAACTAAAGCTCACTTCAATGAGCTGCAAGAGTGGTGGTGTAAGCTCAGTAGGTTCAGGAAAGTGGAACTCAACGCTGTAATCTCTCCACTTCTTTGGAGCTTCAGGTGGGGCTTGATCCTCACCAACCTTAGCTTTGCCCTTATTCTTTGCTGCTTCCTTGGCTGCAGCAAACTTTGCTCGATCCTTGACCTTTTCCTGCTG